CCAGTATCGTTTTGAATGAAGGAAAACTTTCCCAGAGATTAGTCACATCGCTATGCTTGCAATCCATAAGAGAAAATGAGGCAAAAGATATCCTTTGAGAGGTACACTTGAGGGAGTGGGAAAGTCGCTGTAGAAGAAAGACTTTAGCATACTGAGTACAACGACAGGATTATTTCTGGTCGACGCTTCTAAAATATGTCGAGAAATTCTCAAGAAAATGCAAGCAATGTCAAAAGTACGCACCACTATAATATCAACAAACACATAAACTATAATCCATCATCAGCTCATGGCCCTTCGTCGTTTAGGGAATCAATAACCTCAGACCCTTTCTGTCATCACTATACCATTGTAAATTCATTCTTGTTGTTGTGGATTATTTTTCTAAGTGGATTGATGCCCAAGAACTTGCTCGAATCACCGCATCAGTTGTTTGGAATTTCATCCGAACGGATCTGATCATTCATTAAGGATTATCACTGCTTATCATCACAGACAACGAGATGCAATTTGAAAACCAGGGAGTGAAAGATATCTGCAAAAGTCAGAGAATCAACTTGAAATTTACATATGTGCATCACCCTCAAACAAATGGGCAAGTCGAAGCATTCAACAAGATTATCTTAAACCTAATGATGAAGAAGGGAAATTGGATAGAGATTCTCCCGTCCGTCATTTGGGTGGTTCAAAGGACGCCTTCTACAATGATCAGACAAACCCCATTTATGTTATCACATGAGACAGAGACGATCTTCCTAATCGAATGCAATCATCATAACCATGAGTGGTGACAACCTTAGCATTTGACGAAGCAAAATTAAATGAGTAGCATGAAGCAAAAGACGGGGGAATGATGCTCACGTTTGACCTTGACGAGATGATTAAGCTCTTTGGCAAGAGGAGGTAAAGAGGCAGATGACTTAGTATTACAAAAGACACGTCTGAGAGAATACCTTTGTCATCGAGGGCCTCATGTTGAAGAAAGCCAACACAAATGCGTGAGGACAATCTATTAGAAAGCTAGACCAGATGAGGGTCGAACCCTTCATCATCTCGATAAATAGGTTGCCATCATGACATACAAGAAGAAGACATGCACAGGAAAAGCGGTGCCTCAAACATTGAGGGAGATGTCTTGAAGAGATTTTATCCTTGGAAAAATTTTGTATCTCTATGAGTAAAAATGAAAGCATTATCATTACAAACCTCGTATTATGTTGTTAATTACATGAAAATTTTGATTAATACAATTTTGTTAATTGTACACACGATTCCAAGTTTGGCCGACACTTGGGGAAAACTAACAGCGAACGACGTCCAATTGGTAAAAATATTTCAAAAACAACAGCTATGTGCGACATCTGATCAGTAAAGATTTTTCAAAATAGATAGAGATGAATAAGCGTTTGATCGGTAAAAAATAACTAAAATTGACCGACAACAAAGATTAACAACCGATTGGCAAAATGCACAACAACCGACCTACAATACTCATGTATCATAAAAGCTTATGTTTCCTAACTCAAAGCAGGTCAAACTATGGTGGTGATTCCCTGCCCATTAGTGATAAGATCCGCGGCAGGTAGCGTACGATCATCCCATCAACAAATATCGTCGGTTACCCCCACAAAAGGTGTGATAAGATCCGCTTAATATGTCTAGCATTAACTGTGGCTCAACTAAGGCGACAACCTAACCAAGCGACTGAGACATGAGAAGTGCAAGACTTGAGTCGAGCAATAACTCGATAAAACCAACTGAAGGCATTCTTAAAAAAAGATGATAAATCAATCATAAAAAACATTTATCACAAGGAAAATAAAATAGGCAAAATAAAAGAAATGAAGATGGAAACTAATCAAAAGCTTTGCTTTATTTCAGGATTGAGAATTTATAACGAATTTTCTATACGGTTTTTTAAAAAGAATTTCCTATATGTTTTTTTGCAAATATTCAAAAAGAAAAAAGACAAATTATGCCTATGTTACAAGCGAAGCCAAACGCGATTCAAATATTTGAAGACCCCCGACTCTCTTCACTGCTGCCCGCCTCTTTTTTACCCTCCTCCGAGTCAAAAAGTAAGATAGTGAATTTATCCAAATCAACCCACTCGGGGGGAGATCAGCTTTGCTTTTGTCAAATAGTTGTAAGGACAATCCTAACATGAGCTGCACAGCGAGGAGTTCCACCTACCAAGGGTGGGAAGAAAACTCGACGAATAACTCATTAGGGTTCTTCATTATCCCCATCTTCTCCTTCAAGGCTTATTTCACTCCTTAAGCAGTCGACAACAACTCTGACAGTCTGAGTACTTCGGCTTTAGCCACCTTTGCTTGATTTTTTGCCGCAATCACCCTATCTTTTGTCTTGGCCAATTTATCCTCAGCCTCCAACAATCAACTGAAAGTGCGGAGCCTCCCAAGCCATCAATTGATAATGGCTTGATCATCTAGCCCATATTTAAGACACTTTGCTGGTGAAGGATCTTCTCGAAAGCTCAGTATCAAATCACATCTGTGATGGTAGATAGGTATAAAGTTATCGCAGGGGAATCCAAATACCAATAATCAGAGCTAGTAGCTCAATTTCGCCCTCTCGGCCTGCATTAAGACCATGCAGGGAGTAGGCAAGACACTTACATCGATCACAAGAGCTTTCCCCTTACAGTGGTGCACCTCCTCTTCCTGACTGGTTGGCTCGGCCTCAAACTCAAGTTTACTCAGGGCAATGGGAGAAGGGTGACTGGCTTCACCCCTAGCTGACAGCATAATAAATGTCAAAGTGGCCGACCGAGAGGTAATTGATCTTGCTTTCTATCTTTATTCCAAGGACTCCCCCTCAGCACCCCTCGATTCTAATCGGCATGAGGTCATTTCAGCTTCTTGATGTTGTGCATCTGAAGGACTTGTAACCAACATTGTGCCCTCACAGGTGACGTCGAAGCACCAGAAGCTTATTGTGCAAAATTTTCAATCGACAAGTCTTGTGTCACGGTAGAGATTTGAGCCGACAAATAAATGGCAAGTCTGGTCCACTCAACATTCTTCCGCTAAGAACCAAGAAACGAATCAGACGACCCAACTGAATCTGTCGACGAGACCACTTTGCTTTTCTTAGCACGATTTTCTTGCTTTCACCTTCCAGACAATATTGCTCTTTCGGTCTCCCAAAACCGACAAGAAGCACTTCCTTACTAGTGGAATCAATCAGAAGATTCAACACATTTTCCATGATAGTGATTGAAAGCCGACTGATTCATACAAGAAAAGACGCAAAACAAATACGGAATGTCAAAAAGTCATCACATCATATTTATAAAAGCCAAAAGGCACAAAAATCAATGGAATTCAATAATTGAATCATTAATTAAATAATAAATGCTATCCATTTTCACATTGAATTCTCGTACTTTTATCGTTACGTCTCTTTCAAAAAAAGAAGAGAATCAAAAACAATAATATATACATAAACAATGTGTTACCGTTGATCCTAACGAGATCTAATGAATTGACAGGAAGAGAGTACGACAAATGAGTGTCTATCGACAGAAGACAAAGTGGCTCATTTATGTAATTTGATGTATTCTTACGATCCAAAGTAAAACCAAAATTGTCCGAGTCACAGAGAAGACTGAATAGCTCGAATCCATGCCACTAGGGGTGTAAACGAGCTAAACAAATATATATATATATATAATTGATTAGTAGTATTTCGAGCCAAAACGAGCCGAACACAAACAAACTCGAGCTCAAAAATTGTGTTCGTGTTCGGCTCGTTCACTTAATCAGCCGAACACGAGCTGTTCACGAACAAAGAGTTCTTTTAACAACCCTAATCATGTAGTCATAAGACATAAGATAATAAGGGTTTGAGCAAGATTTAAAAATTATTATTTATATTAAAACATCATTTGAATCTTATTTAATAAATTTTATTCTATTTTTTTAATCAATATTTTAATTGATTATAAATCTTTGTAGTCTTGTAGTCAATTAGATTTTTTTAAAAATACTACTTAATATATATATATAAACTTGATGAGTAGTATTTCAAGCCAAAACGAGCCGAACACGGACGAACACATCTTAGTTCGTGTTCGGCTCGTTAACTTATCGAACAAAATTAACAAACCGAACACGAGCTGTTCGTGAACAACGAGCCGTTTTGACAACCCTACATGCCACTCGATAAAAAATGAGACAAATAGACATTTAAGCCACCTGACATGAAAAAGCAAACACGAGAAAAGGTCTAGCCCCTTGGGTATCAAAAAGTTACCCGTCAATTATCTGAAACCGACAACCAGACTAATTTAATTGACCGAGCCACTCCTGCCAAACAGAAGACAATTGATCTCAACCGACTGACAATATTGACTAAACCCGACCGATTAAATTGGCCCTGTCAAACCGAAGCCATACAAACTCAACAGATCAAGCTAGAGAAGCCGAGCAATAGACTAATATTTGTGAAATATCAATATAACCTTATACAACTCTCATTAAAAAAAATGGGGAAAAAAATGTAGCATCACCATGTTATACTCTTCCCTATAAATGAAGGATCATTCATGAACATCTTACTATTGATTACCATTCACTATTCTATGTCTCGTTCTCTCATTTCTTACGCACTATTCCTTGGGGTGTTATTAACAGGCAAATCAGGATTCAACAAAATCAATTTGGTAAAATAGAATGATTAACGTGAAGAAATATAATTCTCTTATATGCAATTAACTAAATATATACAATTTATAAAATTTATATATTCTTATGCTTTATTTGTATTAGTTGAGTTATTATAAATATCAATTTTTCCTTTCATCATGAGAGCATGACGTCTATCCTCAAAGCCATTTCCATAAATTTCTTCTTTAAAGGAGTAAAGGAGCAATGAATATAATCGAAATTTTAATTTAAATTCCTCTTTCCCAGTTTCTGCTAGCGACCCTTACAAATCAAAACACGAAGCATCCCAACCTTTAAATAATGCAGGAACAAGTGTAGTAGCACATTGAATTAAATAATTAATTAAATATTAAAAAAACATATATATATATATATATATTGTTTGTCTAGAACAAGGCCTTAGAAAAGCAACCAAAAAGAAGGGAGGAACACAGAGCAGCAGCCATAGAAAGTCAAGAATACCTGCGGAGCAATCACCCGCACAATCAGAGGTTTTTCTGGAAAGCCAGCTTTGTGTTCGGGCCAACTAGAATCAAAAGCCCAGAACAACAGCAGGCCCCTTCCATCCGCCTAACAGCTGCTTCTGTTCTGCACAGTAAATAAAATGGCTAAGAAACACATAATTAAGTGATCTGCAACTAAATAAACAAATAACCAAAAAGAAATATAAGGGGGGGTCTTTACACTCAGCACACAATTCTTATGTATGTACATATCCAACATCCAAATTTTTATAATTATATGCATAGCACTCAAATTTTTAAAATCATAAAAAAAGTACTACTATCACCTACTTTCAAATAGTGAAATACACGTCTCCATGCATAGGTTTATCACACCAAAGTGTTATAAATATAAATATTGAAGTTTAGGTGTTAGATACGTAAATACATAAGAATCTTGTGTTATGCAAATTTCCTGAAGCACAATTATATTTGGCATTTTGACTGGATAAATGCTATAAACATTCAACCAAAGGGTGATCTCATACAGTTTATTATGTCTCCTCAGAGTAGCTTTCTTCAATGAAGCATTCATTCTGTTACATTGTCAAAGTGTGGCTAAACTTCTTCTTTCAAAAAGAAAAGGTAACTTTGACATATATATAACAGGAGAAAGGCCATCTCATCATCTTGCTGATCTATTCATCAGAAGAATACTGAAACTGAAAAAATTTACACACTATAAAACTATAACGAATCTAACCTGTACAAGAAAAACAGGAAAAAGGAAGGCCTTTACAAAGCAAAACCAAGTCAACCGAAGCCAAAACCTTCACTAGCTTCATGGATGGCAAGCAACAAACGTTCTTCTAATTGCTCCTTGGATGAATATTCGGGTAAGTCGAGCTGGTTGAAACTGTGTGCATAAGTGAACATGATAAGCAAAGGGGATTAAGGAATCTAAAAAGTTTAAAAATAGGAGCAACAAAAGCATTCAGTATAAAAAATAACCAGGTATGGGCGGATGGAAGTCTCTCAGGAGCACCATATGCCTTGTGGATTTGAAACTTTTGGGAGCCAGATATTCCCTGTAATGCCTTGAATCCTTCCAATGGAACCTAAATTCCCAAAAGAAATTTTGATCAGAGAGATTATGCAGAAAACACCTCCCAATAACTGCCACACGATCTGTAAATGAAGCATTTTATGATACAGAGATTTCTCCCATCTTCCTGTCCCTCAAAATCACATCTAATTTGACATTCTCAAAAAGTAATCATGCCTATGTTAGCGCTTTTTAATTTTCCTACACTTAGATTAAAAATAAACAACATTGCTAGCTTGACAACATTTTTATAACTACTGATACACACAACAAAATTTTTTTAGGGGGTACTTAAATAGATACCACCAATTCCTATGTCTTTACATACCTAACAACTATATTTACTTCTAACATTTATACCACCCAAATCTTTCATATCACATCAGAAACACCACATTTTTAACTTTTAAAAAGTTAAATACATCTTTTCATGCATAGGTAAGGTTGTGTGCATGTAAAAATTGAAATTTAGATGTTAGGTACAGAATTACATAGGAATTGAGTGGTATGTATGCAAATCTTCCTTTTTTATGTTGCGTGACCATACTTCAGATCATGTTCAGCAACCTCCATAAAAAAGGGCAGCCCAAGATTAAGATCACGGCCTCCAAGACAACTTCCATTTAGAGGGAAGACAGTTGCCAAACCGCATTAGAGAACAAGAATGCTAATGGAATAAACAGTCAGAAAACGCCATTACCTTTGATGTTCCAGTCACAAACTGCAAAAATCTCGCCATGTCTTCCTTGTTAAATAATTTAACTACCTCCCAGAACCAATGAACTACAGTTGATGCTGTGGTATAGCCGGTGTACTCAGTGTTGGCTTTTAGATCATCAACTGAAGCGATGCACAAGTCAATAAAACTTAGAAAGGTCACAAGAAATTTATGATACAGACTGCTGCAACAAAGCGCTGACAATCTGGAAACCATGAATAAGCATCAAATACCACTGACCATCAATTTCCGGAAGTCCACTGATCAGAAGTTCAAGCTCCTTGTCATTAAATATTGAAATGAGATCCCGCGGAACTAATTCATCGAAACCTTGCAGGAAGGAATTTATTTGAGGACGAATGGCTGTACTCAACCTGTGTTCTGCTACAAGGTCCACATACTCATTCTTTGTCTCTTCAGTTACCCTGATATTCCTCCCTCCAGGTTTAAGCTCGTAATCAGTAACCTTCACCAGATTTTAAAGAAATTCCTTAGAATAACATGATCAAGTTTATCAAGTCAAAGAAAACTTTTACAAATTCTAAAAGTTTTGTTAGGATAAAAATATTCAGCACAAAAGAAGAAAACAAACACAACATAATTCGTTAGCATGACTGCAAAAAATTTAAGCTATTCAAAGAGATCTACCAAAGTCTAATACCACAACAATCAAAATATTCTCCAACACATCGAGAGGAGTAATGAAAAGATTATATTTCATTCATTTTTTGGAAATATGGACAAAACAATAACTTCATCAACAATTGGAGATAGGAAGAAGCGAACTGCCTGCTGCACTAGTCTTTTTTCAAAGCTGAAAGCCCAAAACTTCCGATGCTTTATAAAGTTTAAGCAAGCACTATCATAGCCACTTCAGTTCTCTCTATTGAAACAAGAAATACCTCCTCGCAAAGGTCAAAGACTCCTACCTCCTATAACAAAAGACAAAAACACTACAAAGAAAAAGACAACCAGTATCACAGCCATTAATGTTCTTTCTGCTAAAAACTAGAAACTTCTCCTCAGATGGATCTAAGATTCTTCCCCATAAAAATGGACATAAAACTCCTTTTCTCAGTTGCTACAGAGCTTCGGTTGCCATATTTTTCCACTGGCTACAACGTTCATGTCACTACAGTAGACTAGTTGCAATAATGCATACTATAGTAGCTAAACCTTGCTACAATGGCAGTTGACTACACTTCGTTTTGCATGAGTATTACCGTGTATAACTTTCTATGCTTGGGATGCTAGAGTAAAGCAAAAGGGGATACATAAAGATGAGAATCTACACGAGTTTGAAAACTCCAATAACACCACATGCAAGAAGATAAGATCTCACAAACCTATCATAATTAAGCACATGATTTAGATTCTCACGTTATTCTTGACTCAGAACAAACTAAAATTAAATCTCATTCTAGAATTTATAATAACAAGAATTATTGCATGCCATATTAAAACAAATCTATTTAAAAAGAAAAACTTCATATCGCCCAACCATTTCTCTCTTAGAAATTAATTTTCAATGTACTTAGAGAAACATCACCCCAAAGAATATTTTTGAACTCTCAAAGCCTGGAGGGCTAAGCATTGCACAAATTCACCCAATCAATATTATGTTTTATCCGAACGCCTGCGAAAAATATCAACACACATGTTGCACTCTTAAAAAGTTCCATCAATATCGAGTGTTTACTTGCCACTAAATTCATACCTCCAAACGAGTTATGTCCTTCCTCTAGGTATTGCACAAGTAATACAGCTGTGAGAAATAAAACTCAAAATTCATCTAAAAATCATTTGAAATTTGAGTCAGATCAATATCAGCTTATCATGCTAATGTTAATTAACAAGCCAAGGTATTTGGCTTGAACCTAATTTTGAATAGAGCTTAAACACAGGTGAGTCGCATATTAATTGATTCAAGCCAGCACAAATAAAATAATATATAAAATATTTTTGCTTAGTCCAATGGTTTAATGAAACTTACATTCATACAAATGACTGTGAAACTATACTCAGAGCCTACATGGCAACGCAGCATGGTCCACAAAACATATTACTTGTTTCTGTGAAATAAAAAGAAGTGATCATAATCATTAGTTTTGATCAGAAGATTAATATTTCATAATAAATCTAATACAATATACATATACCCTAATCTAACGCCTAAACAAAAGGTGGAGATGACAGCCCAATGAACTTAAAATCCCTTAATCACTCTCCCAAATCTTGCCCGACCCAATTTTACAATATAACTTTTCCTACCCTCTCTCATATCTCACCCTTTGCTTGCAACCCCACATAGTTTCAACTTTTACCCTTTCTCATCGCTCACCCTAGCCTCTACTAATTCCATCTCCTCTTATATCTCTGGCAATCTTGCCTGATCTTCTCTCGTCCACAACTCCCAATTTATGGCCCCATATCTCTTCTAATAAAAATTTTTGCTTGTCATTCAACCCCTAATCTAAAATCATATTAATTTACCTAGCCTTATTTAAACTTCTTATATTGTTTATATGTTTATTTTCAATTACCTGTGCTTCGATTTTATTTACGAGCCATTCCTTTTTTTTTTCCTAGAAAGATCTAATATCTTAAAACTTTGACGAGCTTGGGTTTTCCTATCTCCATGCATGCACATCTTGGCATTGTTTGTAACTGAAATAGAAAAATTTTTAAAAATAAATATAAAAATCGATTAGATGTATAACCTTTGAGCGGTTCGACTATTAGAAGACGAAGAGAGACTCTTTTCGTTGGTAGCTTGCAGAGATCAGGCGAGAATGAGAAAAAGTGCAAGAGCAGAAAAAATTGAAGGTGGTGTCATTTCCGGTCCTAGCTTGCAACTTCCTCGAGGAGTTTCACATCCGATGCCATCGTTGAGCCAAGGAGAAGCCATCATGCCCTAATACGAAAGAAAAAGAAGAAGAGCAAAGGAAGCCTTAATAGAAGAAGAAGCCGAAGGAGGAAGGATTCTGCGGCTTTCCCTATCATGTGAAACTTACCACGCTCGATCGGCTAGGAGCAATAGAGCAGGGAGGAGATTGACTCGCCTTTAGGGTTTAAGTCAGACCCCATTCCTAGCCATGTGAAGGAAGGGAGGAGGCGTTGTTGTGTTGTTGTTGGAGTTGAGCCATGCTCGAAGGAAGCGGAGCTCGATCCCTTTCTAAGGAGAAGCTCACATGCTGTGGGAAGAGGGAGCTTGTGCGTGTGTGTTGGAAGGAGAAAATTTACTGTCCGAATGCAGCTCTACGTGCGGACCCCAATAATATGTCGTCACGTATGCTACATCGCGGATGTTTTTTCGGGGTTATTAAAGTGGAACCACGGAACTTATTTTAGAGTTATTTCGGGGTTATTGAAGAGAAACTCATACATGTCACTTAATAACTCCAAAATAATCCTGAAATAACCTCAGCGCTTCCACTTCAATAACCCCGAAATAACATCGCGGAGGTTATTTCGAGAGCAACTCATATATTCCACTTCAATAAACCCAAAATAGCCCATAAATAACTTGAAAATAACCTTCGCGGTGTTATTTCGAGGTTATTGAAGAGAAACTCATATATTCCACTTCAATAATCCCGAAATAACACTGCGAAGGTTATTCCAAGTTTATTATGGAGTCCACAGTTCCACTTTAATATCTTTTTAGGTGGGCCCGAAATAACACCACGGAGAGCTATGTTCGGAGCCCGGACAGAAAATTTTTATGCTAGAAGGGCAGTCAGTTGAAGGATTTAAAGATAATTTTAAGATTTTTAATAAAATCATTATATATATATATATATATCTGTGTGTGTGTGTGAGCACGTGTTTAATGAAAAGTTTTATTGAATCAAGACTCTAAGTAATGAAACTTTGGCCTGGAATGAGAAGTTGGTGAAGTGTGCGAGCAAAGAGAGGGAGATCAATTCGAGAAGCTTAGGAGGTAAATGTTAATATTTATATTTTTATTAGAATAAATTATATAATTCTTTAAATTAATGTTATTGAATTTTATTTAATTAGGAAGTGTGAAAATATACTGATAAATCTTTGGGTTTCGAGGAAGAAGGCAAAAAAATTTGAAGTAAAAAGAGGTTAGTCTTCTTAATCATAAAATCCTCACATAGTTAAATTATTATCGATTATTAAATATTACTTTAGAAAATATATGAGTTTTAATTTGGTGAATTGATTTAAAGATGCAATGAGTATTAATTGAAGAATAAGAAAAGAGTCATCCAAGTGAAAAATAAAGACATTCAGGTTTCAGGAGAGTGATTATTTTCTTATGTATTAAATTAAGGTGTTATTAAATAAGGAACTGCATTATTGCTTCATAGAATGCTTTTATAATCAGAGACATGGTCTGAATTAAAAAAATTTATGAAAATAATGAAGTGAAATGAAAAAGGATAAAGGCAGTTTCAATGACCTTATATAGAAGTAATTAAAAAAAGTGATATGTAAAAGCTATAGTCAATCATTATTACTTCCAGATGATACGGCAGAGTATATGATGTACCCGTGCAGGATAAAAAAAATAAAAATAATAAAGTTGTATCTTCGGGCACAAAATTTGAGGGTACATATGGGTAAAATTTTGAGCATAACTTCAAATATGAAGGTAATCTTGATAAGTCTCATAAAAAAGTTAAAGGTGTAAATACTTAAAATAAAATGAGAATGCATAAATTTAAAATGAAAGCTTGCAGTTTTATGAAGTAACGAACTACATTTCCTCTGGTCATTCATACATGGCATTTGTATATGAATTTAATAATATTAAAATTAAAATTGCTCACTAAGTTGTGAAAACTTAGTATTGAATTTAATTGTCTTTCAGAAAAAAAAAAAGTAGATTGATATGTCTAACAAAAGAGATTAAATTTACAGAAGGATGAGTACTGTTGATAGATATTATGATTGTAGTTGTTTTGTACTATTAACTTCTGTGCAGAGATATTGGTGTATGTGTGGATTGAAATGCTTTACTTGCAAGGTATGTAGTTATTTCTGGGTATTTTGATTTGTGTAGTGCGCTTTGTAGTTTCTTAATAGCTCATTTATATATATTGGAAGTTTGAAAATCTATGGAAATTAAAATAAAATTTAATACAATCCGATGACTGTCCTTATCTTTGTTAATTCTGAGCTATCAGGTCGGGATGTCACATTGATATCTCTTGTTTGGCCATAGACATTAGTTTTTGGTACATGCATTCCAAGTCATAACATCCTCTTTTATTATTGAGTTCTCTCTCTCTCTATCTCTCTCTCTCTCTTAGGTTGAATAATGTGCATGCTTCAACAATCCAGAGTTTCGTCTTAATGATTATGGAAGCATACTTCTAATTTACGATATGGAATGAGAGCATTTAAAGAACCTTTAGGAGCCCCTAGCTAGCTCTTCCCCTAATCTTCAATGCATGCATGTTAGTATATGAAAGTTCGGTCATATCTTATTCTTGATTTTCATGTTTTAATCCGTTTTTGTTAATTGCAAATTTGTTTGTTTGCAGGTAAAGTGGCACACCAAGTTTTACTAATTTGCTAAGAGGCTAACGAAATAGCAGTACATTAAGATTGACTAATCTAATATACACGAAACAAATGTATGTCAAAATTTCTCTATGATCATTGTTCTAAATATCAATCTTTTTTTTTTTAAACTATGTACAAATTCTAGATGATTTAGTTCTTAATAGCTTTGATTGTTATCGCTTAACATAGATATTTTATAATCCATGCTCTTCCATTATGCTTGCAATTGTGTTGGCTTGAGTGACTAATGATCCCAATCCACACATAATGCAAACACATAATAATGTCTTTATCATCCTCGCGTTCTTGTACTTCACCGTTTAATGCATCACTGGCATCAGTAATGCTTCTTTTGCTTCCAGCAACGAATCTCCAAACTTCAAACCAAACTTTAACGGCAGAAGTATCTTAAACAGTGATGCTTTTCTTGAGCCTAAACCACGTAAAAATATATTCGCATATGCAAGAAAATTCATTTGCTCGAATAATTATTATTAGCGAAGTTACCATAGCAGAATTAGGACGTAAGTGAAAGGAAAAAGGTATGGGAACATTTTAAAATTGAGTTTAAATCAGGACTGAAATTTTGGCTTTAAAACGGCAGTGTAAGCATTGTTATATAAATTTAAAATATCAACAATCTAATTCCACTTCTAATATTTGTGGGGAAATTAAGAAACACCTAAAATTGGTCAAATTAAAGACATAAAGCACAACTTTTTTATTCTGAAAGGGTACAATTTGTTAATAGTGACCAAATCCAGGAAGCTTCCATTTGCATATCAAGTTCATATGATCATCATAAGATAAGACTCATCTCGGCTAAATTAATTATCAACCTTGAATTGCCATTCCTACAGCAGATCAGCCTTTCCTCAATGTGTACATAAAAGCCTTGAATCCAAACAATCAAAATTTTTCAAGACACAATAAAGAATCAGTGCATGAACTATATGAGATAGAGGAGAATAAGCTGAAAAAAGAAAAAAAAATTTGATAGAGTTGCCCTCACTAGTGATTGCTGAGCGTCTAATCAGGCAATTGGTTATACGGATCTCACTGCCGATTTTATAATTTTTCCTCACTAGTGATTGCTGAGCGTCTAATCAGGCCGTTGGTTATAGTTTTTTCTCACCCCAAGTTAGTTTTTCTCACGCCAAGTCCTCAAGGTGAAAATTTTTATGGTATAGGCAAGGTTTGAACCAAGCAAGTTGGCATGCACTTATTCAAATTGGAAGTTGCAGCATAGGATCGTTAGGTTCTGAGATCTAAATTTGAAAAAGATTTATTTCCATAGCACCTAACAAAATTTTATAAATAATAATCGAATAACGGACCACCATTAAATGCAAGTGAGTCCAGTAATTTTTTATTTAATTTTTAACAAGCAAGCAATGCTGCAAACCTCATTTTTTTCGTATAGTATTAGTTTTTCTTCATCAGCATCCATGCTAAATGTCAAGTCTGGCACGTCACTAATATCATTCTGCAGGTTATGAAAAAAAAATGCAGCTTAGGCATATTACATATTTTAACATCCACTTAAAATAAAATTAAAAAGATTAAAATGTTCACGAACCTCAAGCATCCACTTTAAGTTCTTATAGTAGTCGGGGTCAACTGCCTCAATATCATGATAAGACACTTTCACACCTAGAATGTGTTTATAGAAGGAGCGAGTAAAGTGCACATCCAAAAGTTGCCCATCAAAAAGTGCTTTTGCAACCTGCAAGTATAATTTAAATAAAGAAATTAAAGTAGACATAGCACGTTGAATGCAGTAAAATGAATCTAGAATGATGAAATTGTGTACCAGTCTACCAACAAACTTGAAATATGAAAGATGCTCTGTTTGGTATACAGAGTTGGGGTTAGGTTGAAAAGTTGCATTGTTCCCAACGGTAGTAAAAAGCAGTGCTCCCTTATCAAATATCACTCTCGAGAGAAGTTGGTACCACTCCCTAGTCAGCCCGCCAGCATCTATACCCTCTTCTCCTTGAAAATGAACCATTAACCTCCCTTTTAAATCTTGAGCCGAACGCAAGCGTAGCTGATTATACGAATCTTCCAAGATATAAGCACGCCGAATACTTACTCGCAGTGGAGCAGAAGGGTGTTGATCATGTTGCTGCCTAATACGCGAACGAAAATAAGCTCTTTTATTATCAAAATCAATAAGCCTGGGAACTTTCAACATCATAGAAAATGATTTCTCAAGAAGGCGTGGATTCTGCCTAACAAAAATATTAAGAAGGCGCCGGTGCTTTTCAACAATCCTTGCAAATGACAGAGTGCTAGTTCCATTACTCTTAGAAGGAGATGAATGTAGGAGGCCACTAAATTCTTTTTCCCCGGCAGCTGAAGTTTCATCAGCCAGCATGACTTGGTAAATCTGAAGTTTTTCACATATAATGAAAAAGGCTTCTACAAATGGCAACAACTGCTGAGTACCAGGAGGAAGAGGAGACACTGTAGAACGTCCCCCAGAAATGTGAGAAGCATCTGGAATTGATTGAGAAGGGGAAAATGTGGAATTTTGCCCCAGCTTTGCCTCGGTTGCCGTAATGCAATCACTTAAGTCCTGCCAAAGCGGCTCAAGTGCTAAATTTAAGTTGATCAAGATAGATGGCTCATCATACCCATGTCCAAACTTTTCAGGCTTTGCTCCATCAACAGTAATAAGAGCACTAAGGGTCTGCAGCACACGCAAAATTGCAGCTCCAGCCATAGAACCTGCACCTAAGGGCAACATGTGAGTGCTTCTAAATGTTGCAAGCACACCAACAGCTGAAACGCTCAAGTTACAGGCTAATTCCGCTAACTCAATTGCAAAGAACTTCCGATGAGGAGCAACAACAAAGGCCAATTTTTCCACAACATCCGCCACGAGTGAATAAACCTTTTCAGAAAGCCTGAACAGTTTAATAATAAATCAGAATACTTTCAAGAGAGAACCATAAGAATCCAACTTATCCTGAGCAAGTTAAAAGGTATGAAAACCAGAAAAGTTGAATTCCTCCATAATAATTCCAATAGACATACCAGTTGGAATTGAAAAACTGTGGCATACAGGCTATAGCAAGAGATACAGGAGTAAATTTAGAGTTGAGAATAAATGAAAAGATCAATCTGAGAACAGATAAAATTAAGGCCTCGTTTGAGACGGCGTCAGGCCTGCGTTTCATTGCAGAAACGGTTACGGGAACACAGAATTTTGTTTGATAAATCAACCTCTGCAGAAACACGTCCGATGCAACGCCATTTTTCGTAGTTCTGAGATCGCGCCTGTAGCGCTCCTTTCTGCCAATTCCACTCTCCGTTCTCTTGTTTCGGAAAGAGAAAGTCCAAAATGCACTGCAAGGACCTCCGCTTCATCCTCCATGTCTCTGTCATTCCCTTTGACATTAGAGCCAGGAGCTGCGGGTACAATGCCGCCAGAGAGCAGCAGAAAGGTGGAACGAGGAGTCCAAAGGAAACTTTGCTTGCTGCTACATCCAACTTGCGTCAATCACCACTCAAAGCTCTTAGCGACCTTTTGGGAGGAGATAGGGGGAGGAGCTGGCTTCATACACGCGTCGAAGTTGGCGCCCAAGTGAGGATAGCCATGTTGTTGCGGTTCCCAGTGCAAAAATCACAGCGATCGTCATCCTCACCGGCATAAGTGGAGGAACTCGGCAGTGAAACTACAAAGCAGGAGCAACAACTTTGCAACAGTCATCATTCCCTGGATTTGTTTTCATCAGTCGAGGAAACAAAGTTTTTTGTTAAGAGGAGTTACTGATCGGAGAAGGAGAGGAAGGATATTATAGTATTCCTATTTTAGAAAGTTATAAATGCAGACAGAAATTTTTTACAATCAGACATTAATATTAATTTATCGATTTTAAATTTCTAACACAAGTTTTGTTAAAGTTGTGTTTAAACAAACTTCTGGAAAAAGTGAAGCTCCCTCAAACAAAGCCCTAATACGTGTGTGTGTTAAGAACCTAAACTTCCTTCATGACCCTTGTGCAAGCCAAAGCCGAAAAACTCCCTCAATCTTCGCCCCTCCATCCTCCTGAATCACACAATTCACAGGATCGCCCGTGCAAGACTTCCTACACTCGTCTTGCCGCTTAGGTCACTAAACTAAGCATGCAATTCTCCCGTGCTTGCTTTTGAACTGACTTCTTGAATTACGTGAATTTCTTTTTTTTGTGCCCTGCCTTTCTGATCAAACATCCCGCTCTTGGCATTGACTTCTAGCACCACCTCTTCTCTTGATATAAGAAAAACCGAGTCTAGAGTGTTAATCCTCTTCTTGGCAGCTACCAAAGTCTTTCCCATCTTCTACTACCTACTCCTAAAAATCTCCTCATCACCTCCTCTAATTGGCAGCAACAACCATCTTCCTTCATTTCTTCTCTAGAAGGCAGCTGTCAAGCCTCATCCTTGAAATATTGCATTTTTCATTAAAAGTAAAAATGAGTACAATAAGGGAAAAAAAAAGAAAAGCCCTCAAGACTGTACAAAAGAGTCTTGTCATCTATGAGAATAGCAAAAAGCTCTGAAGATTCAGGCAACGAAGCAAAGGAAAAACTATATGAAAGAGCCCTTTGGGCAAAAATGCAATATCTCCAACATTGGTGAATAATGTAGCATGTGGTCGCCCATGTTTCCTAGCATTACATAATCTCCAACATTGGTGAATAGCAAGTTCCACCCAGTCAGTACGAAATTGTCTCTATAAAAAAAGACCTTTCAATATTAAATTTACTTTTGGTATGGTCACTATTTGCATTAGTTATTGTATTCTCTTTTGAGTTAAGTTAGCTACCTACCTATTATCATTTTAGATTTTTTTTCAAGTTAGTTTCTTATTTTTCATTCAGTTATGCCGGTTGTTAAATTTTTATCTATAAAATAGAATAAATCTTTTTTTCCATGTTTTGTTAGATATTATTTGTATAAAATCCTTTACTTTGAGAATATAAAATAGGTTTACATACTTTCTTCGCACTCTGTGTTGTCGGGCTGCATATATATTAATGACAACCATAAAAAAAAGGTTAACAATACTAGGTTCCTGGTGCAAGACCGGATGAAAAGTTGATATAAGAAACCATAATTCTAAAAGAAGGTTACACACAACCTCCAACTCACAATGGAGTTAGTCATATATCATTGCATCCAAATCTTCCTTAAAATCTATAGCCCCAGTGTAGCTCCAAATCATCATATCAACAAGGTTAGACTTTCAGAAAGCTTCTCCTAAAATGTGCTAAAATAGATGTGATAGAGAATCAAAACTGTAGAGATGAACACCAGTCTAGCGCTGCGTCGAGACAATCGCTTGGCTTAAGAAGATCATATGTGGAGCTATTTCCATAGTGACATTTCAATGGAGGTATTCTCACAATTTCATTTGATGGTGATCAGAATTTGTTTTTCCCTCGTATTCTCCATTCCCGAGTGATTGTTTTGGGATGCTTTTTGCATTTGCTGGATGGAGATGCTTGTCAATTTACCTTCGTATGGATAAACGACATTGCTTCAAGTTGCAGATGTCATTGATTGTGGTTGAAACAGATGCCTTCTCATGGCATCGACGTTTCATTTGCTATCAATCTCTATGTGACCTACGGAAAACCTCATGCGCTATCCTCTTCTTCTCTGATCTACAGTAGATTTTTTCTCCTCTCATATTCACGATCATGCTACGTATATTCCATTGTCATCTGCATTCTATGTCTCATCAGAACCACTTTGGATCCCACCTCCATCCATAATGACTTATCAAAAGGCATCAAAAGGCACCAGTTAACATCCTCGAGAAGCTACCACCTCCCCATGAGCCCCTGATGTTTCTAAAGCTTCTCTTTTACCATATCCAATGGTTGAGACTCTTTCATTTCAAACTTCATGCTCTTTTGCGAATGTGATTGATCTTTTGAATGCAAGAAAACCATAAGTTCTTATTGATTTACAAATGATTGGAGGCTACTTCGTTGTGCCCATTACCCCTTAACTTGTCATAAATAACTCTCTTTATAAGCAAATTACATCTCTCGGAGCGCAGATTAAAATGTTCCACCCATTTTAATTGTTTTGCGGATCCTCCAATCACTCTTGAATTATATTCCGATGACTATGTTTGCACTATATCAGCCAGTCTATTATTTTCACCTTGGCTTGCCGCAACAGTACATTTTATTAGGCCCTCTGTGGCTAGATTATCAATGAAACAAGATGTTATAACCCCCTTTCATAAAATAGTGTGGATTGAGTCTCCATTGTCTGGATATTTGCAGGTGAAATTTTAAAATATCCCATCTTACTGGTACTCTTGCCCTATTTTATTAGCGGAATTTTTTTATTGTTTCAAGGCCCATCCCAAGAAAAGTTTATCAAAATTTCAAATGCAGCTTCTTCCGATTAATGCTCATTATGATTCTCATTATTTGGGAGAATCATCCATCATCTATTCAAGTTGATTCCCAAAAACTAGAACTAGATTCAATCCCTCTAAAAAGGGTAGCGATGTTATTTCTACTCTTACTAGTCTCATGGTATTAATCTCTTCATCAACTATTGATATTAACATTGAGTATAATCCACAAGTTCTTGAAAGACCTCAACCCTACCCCACCTGTGAACAAAAATATGATTATTTGTCATAATAACTTTCAGATCAAATTGGAGTATTCAGAGAGTAGACTCTCGAGCAAACAACTACATAAGAAATTAAATTTCCTTACATAAGAAGGAACAAGAATTAAAAAAAAATCTATCGTCATTAACCTGTGTAAATTAGACTTCAAACCAGACAATTTAAAAGAAAACTTCATATCCAATATTTTTCTTTACACAAGTTTATGATCTGCACTATAGTATTTTATTTCTACGCTTGTATTTCTTGGTAAATGACCGCATTGTACTCATATCTTTATCTAATTAATAGATTCTGCTTTATAAAAAAGGATAGTCAAGGTGCAAGTTACATTAAAAAGGCAAACCTTCGTTATAACAGCCTAACAGGTATACCATTTACCAAAAAACTTCAAGGAATTGTTTATGGAAGGAAAGGATATTTTTAGAACAAGAACTCATTAGTAATATCTAGAAATAACATTCTAGAATAAATTTATGTCAAAACATATATTGAGTTCATAAGTACATCGAAAACTCAGAATCAAGATTTGACCAAGAAAGGTTCAAGAATTTACCCAGCATGAGCAAGAATACGGCACAGATTGCATAAAACAGGGTTAGGGAGTTGCAAAAATGTATTATGAGCGCTAAATGACTCTTCCCCATCAACGTTGAGCTGCCGATTGCTGGAATTAGGATTACCATCTTGATCACGAATCTGCTCTAGGATGGCGGAATCTCGCAGACTATTTGATGGAGTGCTATCTGCCTGAGTCACAGACCTTCCTGCTGCTAGCACATATTGACGCTGACAATCTATTTTTGCCACAGCATTGTCAACTATAACCTGTATCAAACCCATGACCTGCAGAATCAAAGCAAATGTAACACAATGCAAAACTACATCAATGATAAAATTTAATATAAACTGATAACTTGAGATTACCTGCTCAAGATGCACATTACTACGTAAAAACAAAGGTCTATTCAGAAGCTTCAAAAATAATACTAGAGGCGCATCACCCTTCTGAGAAGACTCTAAGGTTAAAGCACCATTTTGCTCACATATCCTTTCTTTAGCTTTGTCCGACCTGACTTCCGAACTGGGTTTGCATGATGAAGGCTCAGAAGGCGACAAAACTTCAAAGTTGAAAAGAATGCTTGCTACAGAAGGATGGTTTGTAGCCAAGAAAGTTAACATCTCCAGAACACGACGTGACAACAGTGGCGGAATACCTTTGCAGTAAAGCAAGTAAAAATGAAGTTAATATAACAAAAGATAAAAGCCCAAGTAAATAGAGCTAAGGAATGAACTAGTACCATTAGAACATTGTGGTCGTCCATAAATAATATTCCATTGACATCCGTAGAGACGCTGGGAGCTACTCATGGATCCAGTTAACACATCAGCTTCTGGTTGTATTATGTCAACCAAAAGAAAAACCAGATTTGCACGTGTGACATTATGTGCACATAGGTTTAACAGAAGTCTTTGGAGAAGGCCTTTCCCTAATGGCTGCAAGTAGAATACAAAATAGATGTATCAAACTAGAGCAATTTAGGCTCCCCGTCGTCTCGTTAAAGTAATAAAACTGAATGTTTCATTTGCATAAACACAATAAGTCGTGGACATAATAAGCACATTTCTCTGAGTTTTTAGATTAAGTTTGTAACACCTAAAATATGAAAATCCAGGTACAAATTTGATATATTTAAAATGTACCATAAATTTCACATCTTCCAAAATTTAATCAAAGTAATTTTATAAAATTCTACACAACGAATCGATCAATTTGATACATAGCACTATAATTTGTTAAAGATGGAGACCGATTTCGCCCTCTCCTGCCTCCCGCCTCCTCTAATTCGCGAATCGGCGTTTTCTGCTCCCTCTACTTCGCTATTTCCGGCTCCCTGCTCCCGCTCCGCTCCGGATCGCGATCCCGTCTCCGCCTCCCGTCTCCCGCGCACGCGAACAATCCCGTCTCCGCTTCCCGTCCCTTCGCCAGAAACCGCTCCCGCCTCCTCTATTTCGCGAAGCGAAGCATCCCTTCGTTTCCTTTTCTGCTTGTGATAAAAGAGAGGCTCTCCTTTAGATCTTCAAGAGGTGAAGTCACGGTGAAGGGTGATCAGGCTGAAGAGGAAGAAGGCATCGCTCTCCAAGGGCTTCTTATTCGGCCAGAAGAAGAAGGTGGTTCTTAAGGCTTCACGTTTCTTGTGGTAAATTTGGCTTAAGTGTGAAGAAA